ATAATAAATAATAATAATAATAATGAATAAGCAGCAATAACAATAATAAACACATCCAAAAAAAAAATGTCCCCGGGAAATCCTGTAATCCGACTCACCCACTCCGAAGTCCATGTCCATCGCCATCTCGATTTTCCGGCAGAGGGTAAACCTGTGTCCATCAGCCTCATCGCCGCAGTCCGTGAGGTAGTCCTTGGCCTTGGGCGTGTCCAGGTTCAGGCAGTCGGGGTCCAGGTGGCTGTTGCAGTTGTAGCATCTGATGGCCGATCCTGTGGAGGGAGGGAGGAGAGAGAGGGGTTAGGTTGGGTTAGGGAAGGAGGTGTGGTGGGTTTGGTTTGGTTTGGTTTTTGTTGTTCTATTTGGGGTGATGCTTTTTTTTGTTTTGTGTTTTTCTTTTCTCTTCTCTTTTTGGCTTTGTTCTCTCTCTCTTCTCTTTCTCTTTCTCGCTCTCTATCTCTCTCTCTCTCTCTCTGTGCGTGTGTAGGTGTACTTTTGTTTTTGTGTTTACTAAACATATGTATGTTCATAAATGCATAATTTTCTCTTTATGTGCGAGCATGCATATATGCCTTAATTAACAAATATGTATGTGGAAATAAGCAAATGTATATTTGCACATACACCATTAAATAATAGAACATACATATTTACATGTGCTCTCTCTTGTCTAAATATTTACACGTGCTGTCTTTCATGTAAACATCGGAGTAGTAAGTCATCTCAACAACAGATGGCAGCACTCGTCAACCACTGAATCTGAACAACAGATGGCAGCACTTGTCTACCACTGAATCTAAACAACAGATGGCAGCACTTGTCTACCACTGAATCTAAACAACAGATGGCAGCACTAAGAACCGATAATTAAATTTCTTTTAACATTTTCTTATGAAGTTTAGGTCATTTCCTATCAGCCGGCGTTCCTTCCTTCGCTCGACTCTGCCGGCTGCGCCCCACGTGGTACTCAGTCCCTCCTCGTATCAGTATTTTATCAGCAGTTTATCATTTAACTCGGCACACAGTACACGGGAGTTCCTCGTGTCACACGCCTATTCTGATCTAGAGTTGCCGAATGTTTTTTACATTTTTAAATTCCCATTTTTTTTCATTTGTGAACAAGAACTACAATATAGAAGACATATATACACCTATATATAGGAGAAAGAGATGTATTTGTATGTGCATCTTTTGGCCATTTGTATTCTAAGATGATGGATAACTGATGCATAATGAATAGACTTGAAGATGCGGATAAGCTGTAGTTACACACACACACACACACAAACACACACACACACACACACACACACACACACACACACACACACACTCAAACACACACAAACACACATACACACACACACACACACTCAAACACACACACACACACACACATACACACACGCACACACTCAAACACACACACACACACACAATACACACATACGTATATATTGTTATAACGCAAACGACAAATGACTATAAAGAGAGGCATTTATAATTCTATATAAACAGACCTTAAAATCCCATTCCATTTCTTGACCATTTACACTTGTGAATATAACAAAAGATATACATGTTCGTATCCGCATACTCATTTCACTGAAAAGAAAGATAACAGCTTTCATAATACTTCTTGACACAGTGTTATCGGAGCCTCATTACTTATTCCTTATCAGGGTAAGACCTTCCTTATCTGCCTTATCACTGTTCTCCACTTTATATCGCTCCGTTCTGTCGCCCTCCCACTCTCCCCTCTCCCCCCCTCCTCCAGTCAGTAAGTGGATCACGAAGAGATGTTCATATATCGAAAAATGTTGGAAATTTCCGTGTCTAAATCGGAGGTGTAAAGGAAATCACTACACGCATATAAATACATAAATATATACATGAATATGCATACACAGGCCTATATATATATAGATATATAGATATAAGATATATATATATGTGTGTGTGTGTGTGTGTGTAGATATGTATGTATATGTGTATGTATACATGTGTGTGTGTCTGTGTCTGTGTGTATGCACATACTGTTCACCTAAACACGACTCCCTCCTCTCCCCCAGCCCCAGCATCACCACTACACCCCCCCTACGCCTCCCACCTCTCCGTCCTATATTCCCCTCTCTTCCCCAACTCTTCACCGGGCACAAAATAATCGATCGTTTTTTCTCGTTTTCAATCTCCTTCTCTCTCTCTGCCCACCCTCCTTCCTTTCTTCCCTCCCTCCTTTCTTCTCTCCCACCTTCCCACTCCTCTCCCTCCTTTTCTTTCCCACCCTGCCTCCTTTCTTTCCCTCCCTCCTTCCCACTCCTCACCTCCTTTCTTCCCTCCCTCTCCTTCTCCAGCCCCCTTTCTTCCCTCCCTCTCCATCTCCCTCTTTCTTTCCACTCCTCTCCCTCCTTCTCCTTCTCCCCCCACTCCTTTCTTCCCTCTCCTCCCCCCCCCCCCCGCAAAGCCCTCCTTAATACCCCGTCAAGTGTGTACTGATCAGCTTTCGTCTCCAGGCTGGTCACATAGCAGTCTGGTTGCACTTTTCTGTTGCCCGACTGAGGAGCAGGACGGGGTTATATTTTTGTTATGTTATTTGCTAATGTGTATGCCTATTTCCTGATAATATTTGTTTATTAATGTATACATGGTTATTTTTTTTGTTTATTATTGCTATGTGTATGCTTATTTCCTGATACGTATTTGTTTATTAATGTATACATGGTTATTTTTTTGTTATATTATTTGCTATGTGTATGCTTATTCCCTGGTACGTATTTGTTTATTAATGTATACATGGTTATATTTTTGTTATATTATTTGCTATGTGTATGCTTATTTCCTGATACATATTTGTTTATTAATGTATACATGGTTATATTTTTGTTATATTATTTGCTATGTGTATGCTTATTCCCTGATACATATTTGTTTATTAATGTATACATGGTTATTTTTTTGTTATATTATTGCTGTGTGTATGCTTGTTCCCTGATAACATATTTGTTTACTAATGTATACATGGTTATATTTTTGTTATATTATTTGCTATGTGTATGCTTATTCCCTGATACGTATTTGTTTACTAATGTATACATGTATGCTCGCACATAACGAGAAGATAATGTATGAGCATACATATGTTTAGTAAACACGAGGAATAAGTTATGTTTCCTTTTAGTTATGTTTATTATCGTTCGTTATACTGCAGTTATAGAGCAGGACGAGGTGTTTTGGGGAATAACTTATATTTCCTTTTAGTTATCATTATTATTTTTCGTTATTCGTTATCATTCGTTTGTTGTATTTCGTTTATATTCGGTTATTTTAGTTGTATAACTGTTGTATTTCGTGGCATCGGAAGCGAAGGGGAAGAGAGAGAGAGAGAAGAATGGTGAGAAGGAAGGAGAGATTGATAAACAGAGGGAGAGGGATGGTAGTGATAAAGGAATGAGTGTAGAAAAAAAAAACGAGTTAAACAGTAAGAAGGGAATAATAAAAATTGATAAAGGAATAAGATTTAAGAAAATAATCATAAACAGTCAGAAGGGAAAAGAGAAACAGGGAGATACGAATAAAAGTAGGAAAACAATGATTAGTAATAAAAAAAAAGAAATAAATAACCAGAAAAAATAGAAAGGAAGAATAAACAGGAAAAAAACAGCATAATAAACACAAAAAAATAACGAAAGTACAAAGAATAGTATACATTAGTATCCACTGAGAAAAAAGAAATACATATATACCATTCATAAAGAAACACCACCAAGAGCTTCAAGTAACGAGCCCAAATAAGTAAAAACAAGTTGACGTTTTCTTCGGTGACGTCAGCCAGTCACGCGTCCTCTTTTAAGGGGAAACTGCAGGAAAATGTTGAGGGGAAGAAATAGCACGGAGGGAATATTAGATCGCTGGAATCGCGTGGTGTATTGCACGGCAGGCGAGTGGGAATGAAAGGGTGTGTGAATAATGTGAAATAGGTATGTGAACAAACACACACGCACGCATATTTGCATGTGTGCATATGTATATATATCCATGCAGCGCACAGACACATATAGATATATGTGTACATATATACATGTATATATGTATGTATATACATATATATACACATTTATACATGTATGCATATATATGTATATATAAATATACATATATATAATTGTATACGAGTATGTATATACTCATATATCCATATAAAGCGCACCCACCCACACACACAGATATGTGTGTGTGTGTGTATATGTATGTATGTATGTATGTATATAACTGTATAAGTATGAATATGTGTATATGTATAAATACATGTATATATGTATATACATATATAATGATAACAATGATAATAACAATAGCAAGCATTACGCCCTCCCCCCCCTCCAAAGCCCCGCGTTACCGACTCCCCCTCCTTCCCCTCCCCCCTCCCTCCCCTCCTTCCGGAACTCCCCCTGCACCCCCCCCTCCCTCCCTCCCTCCCTCTCCTTCCGGAAGCTCCCCCAGCCGAAGAGGGAAACATCCCATTGAGAATCCCCGCAAGACGGCCCGTGGTCAGGCATAGGATCCCCTCCTCCCCACCCCCTGCGCAGGAAAGCTGCTCCGGACTCCGTCAGGAAGTAAGGATGTGGCCCGTGATGGAGGACATCCACGCCGGCGACAACATCCTTAATATAGGGAGGGAAGGGCGGAACGGAGCGCGGGGGAGGGAGGAGGGAGGGGGAGGGAGGCGGGGGGAGGGGGAGGGAGGGGGAACAGCGCGGGGGGGAGGAGGGGGAGGGGAGGGAGGGCGGAAGGGGCGGAGGAGGGAGGGGGGGAGGGGAGGGGGGGCGGAAGGGCGCGGGGAGGGGGAGGGAGGGCGGAACAGCGCGGGGGAAAGGGGGAGGGAGGGGAGGGAGTGGTTTACTCCTTCGCGCGTTGGTTGTTCCGCTCGTTGGGGCTCGTCTGGCGCGCGCTTGATTGCTCGTTTGGGGGGTTAAGGTGGGTTGTTTGTTTGTTTGTTGTGTTAATGGAGGTGGTTTGGTGTCTATAATGTATATATGTATATATGTATTTATATTATATATACATATATATATAAATATATGTGTGTGTGTGTGTGTGTGTGTGTGTGTGTGTGTGTGTCTGTGTCTGTGTGTGTGTGTGTGTGTGTGTGTGTGTGTGTGTGTGAACATATATACATTCATTTATTCATTTGTTTGTGGTGAATTTTGACTGTGGTGGTTTGATAACTGATAAGTTTATGATACTTATATAAGTATTTATATTTTTTCAGTGGTGAATT